TCCTCCCCAGCACGCCATTGCTGCTTCACTTCTCCCGCCTCCCAGGCTTGCGGCGCCTAAGCTGATTGTCGCCGCCAACCTGGGAGGCGGGAGAAGTGAAGCAGCCACGGCGTGCTTGGGGAGGAGGCGGGGCAGGGGTGAGCTGGGGCGGGGAGTTCCCCTGCATGCCACCCCCCCTCCTTGCTGCAGGCTCCACTGCCCCAGCTCCCTCCGCCTAAATGCCGGCGGTGACTGGGGCGGCCGAAGATCCGGCCACTGCGGTTGCTGCCGAAGAAAATGGCACCCCCCCAAATCCTAGTGCCCTAGGCGACCGCCTAGGTCACCTAAATGGTTGCACCGGCCCTGGATACTAGATTGGGAGTCTGGGCTCCTGGGCTGTATTCCTGGCACTGTGATTCACCTGCTCTGCTTACCTTGGATAAGTCACGTCAACCTCTCTGAAAATGTTTCCTCATCTGTAAAATGGGGATAAATGACACTTATATTCATTAGTACAGTGCTTTGAAATTCTTGACTGAGAACCGCTCTAACACAGGTAAATATTATTATTCTAGACCAGGAATGATAGAGCTGTGACAGATATCTTCTGATGGTCTCTTCCTGCCCTTGTTCAAGATTTACAAGAGTTACAGTGGAAGATCAATAGCTGAGATAGGTAAGACCCACAAAATGTTGACTCAATTGTTAAAGGAGCCACAGAAAGCCTCAGCAGCAACCAAATTAGTGCTAGAGCAGAATGTTATTTTATTTTAATACTGTTTATTTACAGACTTACTTTCATTATATATTTAACCTTTTTAAAGTGGCCCTCTAAATACAGGACTTCCCATTTCAGTGCAATTATTGTTAATCCAATACAGCTCTTGTAAATCCTGCCTGTAATCCCTGTAATAACCTGTCCCTGTTATTGCAACAGTATGTCCTCATTTATATTCAGTGGCTGTGCTTCACTAACAGCTACTTCGCTCTGCTCTGTGTCCCACTGAAAAAGACTCTGGCTCCGGTTTGGACTCTTTATACATTCTCGCAGCCGGAGATTCTTTACCAGCCTGACCTCGCAGTGGTCACTCAATAGTGCCAAGTGTCTATTTCTTGTGAGGCTAGTCCAAACAAATGAGTGGGGTGAGACTTCTGCTTCTCCCTATTGTGTCTGACCTGAACAAGCTGGGAGCTATATAAAACATCCCTTGGGATTTGGAAAGCAGAAGTAGGCACTGCAAAGAACATTTAGGAGATTGGCTGGCTCTGTCATGTGACTGATGCTAGGCAACATGTGCTATTGGCCTTCTTGGTTGCCGACAGATCAGAAGGAACATCAGTTTGTGTGTGTATGTGCAAATGAGGCTGTGCTTTCTCCACAGCAGTCTGGGGGAGCTTTAGCACTTCTACTGAGGTAAGCAATAATGATGTCTCTTTATTCTAATAAATTAGCTGCCAGGAATGGATGCAGCAGGATTTTCTGGTGCACAAGCATAGAGTAAAATAGAAAAAGGGCTCCACTCTTAAATTCTGTATTCTGCTTTCTTTTGATGTTTTTTAAATTCTAAATTAAATGTGATCAAAGGTGATAAATACTCAAATATGCCTAGCAGTTTTCTTTGGTAATTAAAAATCATTGTATTCTATTTTAAATGTTTTACATCTTGAGAATATTAAATTATATATTGGCAAGCAGTTGCACAGACAGGCATGCATTGGAAATAGTGCATAGATACATTCCTGTCTTTATGAAGCAGTGGAGAGGGAGAGGAAGGTTGATATTAATACCAATCTTTACATGAAAAGCATCAGGTCATTTTTACAAAGCAGGCTGTTTAAAACAAAACCTGTAAAAATGCCTGCCAAGACCAGTCATTTATGTGTGTTCTGAGATGCATGTTGGCAATATTAAACCAAAGGCGCAAGACTGATGCTCAATATGCTAATGGATTTGGAATCTATGGCTTGTATATTGCATTTAAAGTAGAACAGTGAATGAAAGACAGCAGCCTGTTTAAACAGATCTTGAACTGTAGCCAATTAAAAAAGCCCATTGTAGTCCTGTGGTAGGCATACATCTTAGCCAACTGCTTCACAAGAAACAGATTTTTATGTATTTCCTCCAAAACTATAGAGTGGACTGAATAATTGCCCTATGGAAAATATTTTAAGAATATACTGAAAGTGAAGTTTATACCAAAGATAATTAAAGCCATTGTTGAAAAGAATTAAAGCTGCTAAGGATTAAACTGACTGCACCACAAAAAATGAAAAGGAACTGAACTGTACTATGAATAAATGGCTGTGCAGCAAAACTCCAGAATCTATAATCAAACTGAGAAAATCCTCCTTCTGTAAGTACAGAGAGCATTCATGCATTCAGGCTACATGGATGTAGTAGCTTGTTCAGAGAAGCTGCTGTGAAAGAGAAGTTAATGTCAAAACTAAGCAGGATCAGTCTTTTAAAATACTATAGCTCTCCCAGGAAGTAAATCAGAAGTGAGAATGTGCTATTGATGAATGATGCTGTCATCTTTCAGCTGCTGCTGAATGTTTCTAATTCAAAAGACCAGAGTAAGCAGGAAAGTTCAAAAGACCAAAATAAATAAATAAATAAATAAATAAACCCCACAAAAAATCCAAACCCACTAATATATAACATGCCTCTGCAGTGTTAATTCTGGGAACCAAATGCTATTGCACAAAACTAAAAAAGTTCCGACTGTTTTCCGTTTGCAGAACCATTTAACCAGTAGCAGTTAAATTTCATGACTTTACCTATATAAGAAAAAGCAGTACTATATGCTAACTGGATCTAGAAGCAGTCTATTTGCTCGACTTTAACACAGAACAGTCAGAATTAAAACTAGGCATGCAAACATTGAGAATGTTTTCTATTATGCTGCTCTCCCCTAGTGAACTATTCTGATCTGCTTTGTTTGTAAAGCTATTTAGTACTATAGCTTCCTATCATAAAGTTATTTTTGATACCATAATTAGCTTATCACCAGTGTAAGCGTAATGCTGGCTGTTCTAATTTTCAGGGATTTTGTACCATACTTGCAATTTGTGAGTGCCAACAATTACTTAGAAATCCACGAGCTATTTTTCAAGGTTGAAAAACTGGGAAAATACCTATAGTCCAGTTAAAAAGGATGGAATTTGTAAACTGATGTTCTCTGTATTTGTTCCAGATATGGAATATATTGAACTTTTACTCTTCTCATAGGTGTGATTTAAAAAAAAAAAAAGATAGAACAGGATATATAAACAATGATAACTGCTTGATGCAAAATACCAATACGTCTTGAGCATATTAATAAAGTAAAAATAAAGATCTTATGTTATCTAATATACAAATAAAAATTGACATGCAAATATTATACAAAAATAGCAGAGAAATACTTACACAAAATATGTATTTATGTACAGACTTTTTTGACATCCAGTGCTTTACAAAGTTTGATAACACTAGACTGCCTCATCCCCTCTGCCCCTGACATAGGGAGGCAGTAATACTAAATAGCTCTGGTGTAGCATCTGCACTGCTCCCTTCCCCTGGAGGCTTTGCACTGGGAGGCTGTACAAGGTGTATTAGGCCTAGAGGCCCCCTGCAGGAGGCCTTGTGATCCTACCACACACACCCTTTCCCAGAAAGGAGCAGTAGAGAAGTCCTCCAGGCTGCCTAGAGTGGCTGCAGGGGAAGCAGCCAATAAGAGAGCTGCAGGGAGCAACCAATTTGGGACTGGGAGAGCCATAAAAAAGGAGCTGCAGAAGTAGAGCCAGGTAGTTGCTGCCTGGAGCTGGAGGAGTGAGAACTGTGCTCCTGGTTGGTTGACCGACTGAAGGAGCAGCAGGACCATCGACAGGTCAATTGCTGGCAAGGACCAAGGGAGCTCCTGGCTGACTAAGTAAGGACTGAGCCCAGGAAGGGCTGCAGGAAGACAGTGTCTCCAGTGAGGAAGCCCTGGGGATATGGCCCCATACTGGGGCTGGGACTATTTAAAGACTGAGCCTGGGGATGGGTACAGAGATACCAACAGAGGGGTCCTGGAACAGGCCCCTGGTGGACTGTATGCCCCAAAAGGGGTCTGTTCTGTTTCACATACAGACTGTGTGAGAGACTTGGCCGGAAGGCTAAGTTACTGAAAACCCTCCAACAGGGGTCATCACAAATAGAGACTGCAGGCACACACACTTGACTAGGGGGTGCTTGCAAGAAGGGCGTGCCACCCTGTTACAGAGGCAGTTTTAAACTGAAGCATCAGCAGCGGATGGTGCCTGGCAAATGTGTTGGATCAATTTGCAGCCATGCTGCCCTAGCCATGCCCTCTCTCTCTCCATAGTTGCCCAAATTTGAGATTTTGTTGGTGATGAGGATCCCCTAAAAGAAGATAAGTTGTTAAATGTATGCACTGCAACCTTACTTCCATGTGTACATTCTACTGGGGCTGTAGGTTACATCAAGTCAGCATAACCTAGGGTGGAATCTAGCCCAGTGAAGATAAATTCTCCTCTCAGAACTTGCTTATAGTACAGTTTTTGGTGCTGTTGTAACGTGAGCTAATCAGTCACCAGATAACTCAAGATAACTAACGTGACTGTAAATTCTAGTACAGATTCTCAAAAAAGTTTGTTCCTGATAATGGTTCATGGCTTTGTGTACACTACAGTTCTTTAAATTGATTGTTCCAAGACACAAATGTTTGTGGAGTGTCCAGATTAGTATATACAAATGTGTTAGTTTACTAAAGTTAATTGGCAATCAATTATCTTGAGTTTAAAATCTCTAGAGTAGACATACCTCCTCAGAGTTAAGCCAGGTTGAACCACAGCTGAGAAAACATGTGTGTCTTGGAACAAACATTTGTGAGTTGGCTACAGAAGAGTTTACAATCTTATTTGTTAACTTGAGTTAATTGCGATCAGTTAGCTCAAGGTACAAGACCAAAAAATCTAGTATAGATATACACTGAATTGTTCCAGTTAATGTACTTTCATTGGTGTAGCTTGAGAAGAATTTGTCCCAAGGCATATCATGGCCACAGTGGGTAGGTAGACTAGGAAAATTAACATTAACTTTCTGACTCAAACCAACAAAAGAAAAGAGGTACATAGTTAAGGCTCCCATTTTACCCAGAACTAAAATGGGTATTTACTCTAGGTGGCTATTTCAGACACTTCTGTTCAGGACCAGATTCTACTCTTTGATCCAGTTTGCACCGTGCGTAAAGAAAATTGCTTGTGCCCTTGAACACGTGTGCCATGGCTGACTTCCTTGAGCTTATCTGGTGATAAGCACTAAGTTTGAGATTGAAATGTGATCAGTAGTTTGCAGTGCTGTCGATCCAGCTCCTACAATAAAGGGATAAATCCTACTATGGCTGGGGGAGACCGGGGGGGGGGGGGGAACTACCAGGCTTGCCCCCACTGTCAGCCAGGGCAAGATTCCTCATAGTAGATTGAGGCAGTGGACTGTGGGAGCACTTAGACCGGGGTGGGCAAACTTTTTGGGCTGAGGGCCACATCTGGGTGGGGAAATTGTATGCAGGGCCGGGGCAGGGAGTTGGAGTGCATGAGGGGGTGCGGTGTGCAGGAAGGGGTTCAGGGCAAGGGATTGGGGCAGAGGAGGGGTGTATGAGGGGGATCAGGGAAGGGCTGTAGGAGGGGTGCAGACTGTGGGAGGAGGCTCAGGGCAGGGGGTTTGGGTGCAGGAGGGGTGCAGCAGGGGACACAGGGCAGGGGGTTGGGGTGAAGGAGGGGTGCGGGGTGCTGCTGGGGGCTCAGGGCAGTGGGTTGGGGTGCAGGGTGCAGCAGGGGGCTCAGGGCAGGGGGTTGGGGTGAAGGAGGGGTGCAGGGTGTACGAGGGGGCTCAGGGCAGGGAGTTGGGGTTCAGGAGGGGTGCGAGGTGCAGGCAGGGGGCTCAGGGCAGGGAGTTGGGGGGTGGAGTGCAGGCGGGGTTCGGGCTGCCGCCCAGTGCCACTTACTTCAAACAGCTCTGGGGTGGCAGCGGCGCACACCGGGGCCAGGGCAGACTCCCTGCATGCCTCCCCTATCACCAGCCCCGCGCCACTCCCAAAAGCGCTGCAGCCCGAGGGGGAGGCGGATGGCTCTGCGTATGTTGCCCTTGCCGTGCCTCCAGGTACCTCCCCCGAAGCTCCCATTGGCCGCAGTTCCCCGTTCCCGGCCAATGGGAGCTGCGAGGGGCGGTGCCTGGAGGCAACACACGGAGCCCTCAGCCCCCCACCGACTGGGGACGCAGGGTGATGCCGGCGGCACTGCGGGCCGGATCCAAAGCCCTGGGGGGCCGGATCCAGCCCGCGGGCCGTAGTTTGCCCAACCTTGACTTAGACTGTGCTCGTACTGAAAAAGGCAGCTGTTTCTGCTGCTGCTGGATTGTGCTTGCTGCTGACC